TCTCCACTTTCTGCTTATCCTGTTGGCCAGTCAGCTACTCTAGCCCTGATGTTTGGCATGAACCCTAGTTCTCTAGACCCAAGTTGGAAGCCCCTAGCTACCCATACCCTAGCTCAGACTAGTGATCCCCAGAGATCCACAGTCCAGCTCTGATAACTTGTGACACATCCATGTCCTTAAAGCCTGCCAGGCCTGACATTTAGAACAGTAGCTTTGCAGAGCCTGGCACTGTGTGAGGCTCAGGTGTTTCCCAATCTCTTTGCTCTAAATAATCCTGCTCATTTCTGAGTACTCAGTCAGTCAAGTCGCTATGCTACTCCAATTTCACTTCTGTATGATGCAGAAGAGTTGGACTGGGGAGGTTAGCTTGCTAAGTAAATGTCCAGAAACACCTAAAATTCTACACCTCCCTCAAGGTCTAGCTCACATTTAAACTCTTCTAGAAAGCTTTTCCTGATTATCCTGCTGGGAAATAATTTCTCCCTCCTTAGATCATTCATGGCCCTTTTTTTTTTAAACCTCCCCTACGTATTTGTTCCCCCACCCCAGAACATAGAACTGAAAGGACTTCAGAATTCAGAACTCTACTTCAGGGGTTCTTAACTAACCCAGGGTCTGTGATTTTTTTTTCAGTATTTTGATTATAATATAATTTATTTCCTTTGTAATCCTATGTATTTCATCTTATGCATTTAAAAACATTCTGAGAAGGAGTCTGTCACCCAGCTGCCCAATGGGGTCCATTGGACAAAAATGGTAAAAAAAAAAAAAAAAAAAAACCATGATCTAGTCTAATCTTATTTTACAGCAGAGGAACCTGAGACTTGGGGCAGGGGACAGTGGCTTGCTCAAGATCACACAGAGGAAACAGGATTCAAACCCAAGTCTTCTAAAGCTAGAGTTTGTGCTCCTTACACTATATTATGTTACCTCCCTATTATGTTTTACCATGTACTATAGTTATTTCTACCCTCATCTCATTTTCGTATTAGAATGAGGATCCCTTGAGGAACGGAGTCTGTGTCTTATTTTTTTAATCTAATTCCCTTCATCCTCTAGCACCAATAGAGGACCCTACTCATTCAAGTACTTAGGAAATGTTTATCCAATTGACTGAATAATAGCAACATTATTGCAAGTGGTAATATTTAAACTGCCATTTTGGGCCCTTTATCAGCGTCACTTCAATTCACATAAGCAATGTTACTCATTTTGACTCTTGCTGATGCTTTTAAATTATTTATTAATTTAAACTACAGATTCTGAAGAATTTGTAGTTGAGAACAACTTATTACCCACTGGTTTGTGTTAATATGTTCTCAGTGATAAAACAATATTTTTTAACAAGAAACTATTCTATAAATGAAACTTGCTGATCATTCTGTCAAATATTCCATTCCTTTAACTGATCCTAGTACAAATGGGCTACTCTGTTCCCTGAACATAACATATCCTGCACTCTCCCATCTCTGTACCTTTCTTTGCTCACAGTGTTCCTTAGACCTGAGATACCTTCCCTTCCTGTCTTATACGTTGAATTTATACCCATTTTTAAAGCCCAACTCAAAGACCACCCCCTCCAATGAGATTTCTCCAATTCCCACCCACATTGGAAATTACTTTTCCCCAATGAGACTTCATATATCACTTGTTTCTGTACCTCCAAGATGCATTTATTATGTCCTAGAGTTATCTGTTCATATGTCTTATTCCCCACAATAGTCGATCTTAGGGTCATAGATCTTAAGCTAGGAGTGGCCTTAGAAGTTGTCTAGTCCAACCCCACTATTTTGCGGATGAGGAAACTTAGGCCCAGAGAGGTAAATTGATATGCCCAAGGTTCCTCAAGTGGCAAGTGGCAAAACTGGAATTCAAACATCGTTGCTTAACTCTGGAGTCAACTGTCTTTCCATGATGCCTCCATGTAAGCTCTATGACCTCTGTGCTTTCCCAGTACCGTTCTACACACCAGACTTAATACATATTTGTTGAATTATTTAGTTGAATTGGGCATCTACACTATCCTAATTTAGTGAGGGTTTTGCTCCAGCAATCCTTTTGTTTTATTTTTCATCAGCTCTGTAGGTCCTACTCCTGCTGGTTTTCCTGGAAATCCATCTGAGGCACAAATGTGATCGACTCACAGTGGTTCTGTTGACTGATTTAACTTTTGTTCAGTCATTTCAGTCATGATACTTTAACATAAAGTCAGTATAATTTAGCCATTATGGTTCTAGTGGCCAATATTATACAGAAAATCAAGAGGTTCTCCAACCTACCCCAAAACATTGTATCAATCTAAAGCCTCAGTGATCTCATCCCTACCACACTCTTACATACCCCACCCCCACCGCACCCCCATCACTAACATAGAAGGTTCTGGGTAAGTGGTCTTCTAAGTTAACAAGGACTCAAAATAGGCTAACTCTTCCTATCTTTAAGGGAGTCAGCCTTTCTCTTGGGATTTTAAGTGTTCCATTAATTTTATGCTAATCAATAGTAAATGATTACTGAAGAGTAACCAGGGACCCAGGAAACTACCCTCTCCCAGGACCTGTTTTACAGAAACAAAGAATTCCAGACTCTTCCTAAGCTGTTCAGAGGTGAACACATTGATAGATTTCTGATTCCCCTCCTTTCCTTTCCTCTGCCCGCCCTCTGGTGGAGCTATGGGATGGCCCAAAATGGCAGGCTCAGGAAAGAAGGAAAAAAAGGGGACCAGTGAAGGGCCTGAATAATCCACAAGCTGGATACTTCATCTACAAATTGAAACCATGGTGTTGATTACAAACTCAGAGAAAGGTGACTTTGTCTTCTTGAAGAGAAAGGATGGCTTTTTGGAGAAAGCCAAATCCTACCATTATAATAGGAGTTAGATCACCTTCACTCTTCAGGATAGGGAAGGAGTAAGAGGCAGGTTTGCTTTAGGGAACCCTCCTCACCCTCACCCAAGTCCTGCACATGTATGAGTGGAAGAGGAAGGATGAAAAGCTGGCATGGAGGGTAAGGAAAGATGAAAGACAGAAGAGAAAGGTGCTGCCTGATTTGGAGAAGGGGAAGTAAGGTCGAATGCTATGTCTGGCAAGAGAATGAGGTAAAAGACCTGGGTACTAGTTCTAATTTTTCCACTAAGTCTCTGTGTGACTTTGAGAAAATTACTTTTCCTTTCTGAGCCTCAGTTTCTTCATCTGTAAATTAATTTCTAAGTTCCCTTCCATCTTTAACTTTGTGATTCAGAGATTCTAAGGTTCTTTCTAGCTCAGAGGTTTTATGTTCTAAGGTTCCTTCTAATTCTGTCACTCTACCATTCTTGGGGGGGGGGGTGGAGAGGAGAGAAGACGAGACAATGAATATACCTACCTCAACAGACATCTCAATAGGCATTTGAGAATAAAACCTTAGAGGGGGAAATGCTGTCTTGTCTCCCAGGCTATTCCCATAATTAATCGCTGAAACCTAGGGTCAGACAGTGTGTGAGTGTGTGTGTGTGTGTGTGTGTCTGTGTGTGTCTGTGTCTGTGTGTCTGGGTGTGTGTGTGTAGTTCATATTCCTAAACTGTGGCAGAGGGGAAAGTGGCTGGAGGTGGGGCTAGCTGTCTCTGCAGGGAAGCAGGACCTCAGAACCCCCAGATGCCAACAAGAGAACTCTTCCTCAACGCTCCTCCCTACCCGAGGTTCTTTGAAACAAGTCCTATATAAGGGACTTTGAGGAATGGTCAGAAAAGAGAGGCTGAGCTGCCTGACTGGCTGTACTAATGCAGTGCATTCGGTTTGAAAAGAATTCTTAATCTGCATCTGGGGGAGAGGTGCCCTCCTCCAAGTGGAGGCAACTCCCGGGGATTTGGGCCCCTTCGAATGCTCAATCGCGCGAAGACTAAGCCCTCAGTTAAACCCGCTCAGTCCACCCACTTCTTCGCTGCTGCTCTGCCTCAGATCTCTTGGTGGTCCCCGGAGAAGCAGTCCAGAGTGCAATCCGTGACCACCACAATCTCTTGAGGCAGCGGTGTGTAAGCACCCAGGGATCGTTTGAGACCAGTGGATCCGGGACTCTTCCTCCACCTCGCCCAGCAGCAGAAGGCGGACAAGTCCGCGGCTGCCCCAGAAGAGACTCCATTTCTGTGCTTGCCCTAGCCCCCAAGATGTCATAGGAGTTAGAATTGGAAAGTCATATTCTAGAACGTGCCCCCTTCCTTTTGCGGATGGGGATACTGAGGCCCGGGAAAGAAATAGGACTTGGCAAGGCCACAAAACTAGCCAGAATCAGGCTCTGGTCTTGAACCGAGGTCTTAAGACTCCAAGTCCACGACTTTCTCTGTCACCACCCCTACTACCCCCAGATGCCCAAGGTGACCAGAGCTGCTCATCTTGAGAAGCTGATACCTGGGGCAGATAGCTGGGGCAGATTGCTCGGGATGCCTTCGGGAGCAGCGTGCAAGTTCTGGCTCGAACAGTTCTCTCAAATCTGCCTCCCTCACACTCCTGCTCTCTCCTATGCCAGGGGCCCACCACTTTATACATTTTGCTTACTCGCTCGCTGTTTGCGTTTCCTAGCTGGAGAAGGGCTGATACTGACAGGGACAAGAGGGGCGTCGGGAGAAGCCAGTGTCCACATTTCCGAATCTCAGAATGACTGACCTAGAAAGAACCGTTGAAATCACCTAGCGAAGACCATTTTACAGTTGGGGAAACTGAGGTCCATAAAGGGGGAAGTCCAAGATTACAAAGCCAATTGGTAGCGGAGCTGAATTTGAGCACCGCTTTTCTATCATTGAATCCTCCACCGTTCACTAGTCCCAGGTGAAAGCTCCCCCATCCCCCAGTTATTTACATTTACACACACACACACACACACACACACACACACACACACACACACGACATCCCAGGAAACCTCTCTTTACTTAGTGTTGGCTCTCCCCGGGCGCTGCCTCCCCGCCCCGGCTGGAGTGTAACCAAGTGTAGGAAGACAAAGTTCAGACCCAGGGAGGCGGCTTGGCGGGGCCAGCCACGTTGAGGAGGAGGGAGGGTGCCCCGTGGATCCCCCAGAGCAGACTCCAAAGCAGAAGACGCGGGCAGCAGCGGCTTGGGGAGCTGGGGAGAGGAGCCTGTCCTCCCCACAGAAGGCTTAGGGAAAGCTGGCACTCCAGGCAAGGGGCGAGAGCGTGTCCCCAGCACCTCGGGACCGGACCTACTGAAGCTGCGGGCCACGGGAGACCCGAGCCCTCATGCTAAACCTCGATTCGGGGGATAGGCGCCTGCCTAGGTCTCCAGCTCTCGGCCAACAGCTACCCCTAGCGGAAAAGCGACCGTCCCGTCCCCCTCCGTGCTTCCCAGGGCGTTCCGAGATTCGGCTAGAGAGCCAGGGTAATGAGGCGTGTGCTCTCCCTACTCCCTGCCCTCTCCAAACCCCGAACTCTGCTCCTAAGCTATCCTGCCGGGAGGCCACCGGGAAACCCTGGCCCCAGCTGCCCAGGACCCCCAACTTTAGCTATCCCTCAGACTCCATGCACTCTTCTGCCAGCCTCCCCACGCCGGGAGCTGAAAGCCAACCGGAGCTGCTGCTCCTTGGACGGACAGGCGGCAGGAGTTCGGGGCGGCGTTAGCGAAGGTGTAGGGCGGACTCCGAACTCCGAGATGGGCTGTGTTTGTGCTGCGGGACAGTTCAGGGATGTGAGCATCTATAGAGTGAAAAGGTGCGGAGTGGAAAGCAAAGGATGTGGGACCAGAGGGATTCGTTGTATGGGGATAGAGAGCAATGTAATGTATCCGTAGTTTCACAGGTGTAGGGTGCAGGATTGAGTGGGATGAGGTTGCATCGTGGTGATTTGTGCGTCCCAGGAGTGAGGTACACCGATAGGGTGTGGTTCGGGGTGGTGGAGTTGGAGGAAGATTGGGGGTGGAGGAAGGTGGGAGAGCGGGTTATTCCCGTAGCAAGGCTAGAAAGAAGAGTGGGTCTCAGAAGCCGAAGTCTGCCAATCGCTGTCCCCTGTCTTACTGGGGGAGATCCGTCGGTATGGGAGCCGCCTTGAGATGTCTGGGAGGTAGGTGCTCCTAGGAACAGCAGTCGTTGGGTTGGACTTGACGAGTCAGTACGGCTTTCTTCTACCCCTATTCAACCTCACAGTACGTCCCGGTCCTGCGGCAGAGCCTACAGGGCTTCTGGGCGCAAGGAGAGCGCGCCTAGACGGAGAAAACTCTCAGACTTCCACTGAAAGCTAAAGGCACCTAGGGCTTCACTTGAGACACTCCTGCTCAGTGCGGCCCTGGTATTCAGGTGGGAGACCTCCCAGCCGTGGACGCCTCCCCTCCCCCGTCCCAGTAGAAAAACTTGGAACTTTAGAAAGGGCGGGCATTAGACGAGGACGGGGGTGTGAGTACTTCTGTTCCCTGCCCTGAGGAAGACCTACTAGGGAGCGCAGCACAGAGAGCTCTTTGTGGTGCAGAGCAAAGACCTCTCCCGACTCAGGGGCTGGGTGATTGAGAGACCTGAGTTCGAGCCTCGGCTTCGCCATTTCTGTTCCTGTATAATTTTAAGAAAGTGCTTTCCCTTTTCCTTGCCTCAGTTTCCCCCCCTTTCTAAATGAGATGGGTCTAGAAGACGTCTAAGGTCCCTTCTAACTATGATGTTAGGTAAGTTCTGTATCCTCCTCCCCTTCACCCTCCTCCGGCTCTCCCTGCTCCATGGCACGTCTCTAGCCCCTCGTTTGGTCCCTCTCTCCCCTCCTTGCCTGTTTATTTTTAGGTCATTGGCGGCGAGCTCTAGGTAATCCCCAGGCTGAAGTTCCAAGGGGGCGGGGCCCTACTGGGGGCGGAGTCGCCTTTTCTTTTAAACCCGCGACTATAAATCCAGTTTAAGGGGAAGCGGGATCTCAGATGAGCAGCCCGGACCCAAGTCGGCTAGGGGAGCGAGGGGGTGGGGCCCAGGGCGGCCGCGGCCGCAGCTGCCCAGCTGCGCCGCGGCTAGCCGGTAGGCTCCACTCCCTCCTGGTTCACACCTTGGGCTTTCTTACCCAGGTGGCCGCCTGCTGTTTCCTGGGCCCGCGCTTCCTGGCCACAGCGGTGACGCTGTGGCTACTGGACTTCCTGTGCATCCGCAAGAAGGTGCTGATGAGACGCCAGCGCGAAGGCGAAGCTGAGGACCCCCGGAAGGCGGGCGGGGGCGTGGGCGGGGGTGGAGGAGTGGAGGAGGATGGGGCAGCTGTTATCTTGTTCCCGGGGCTACCCCCTGATGACCCGCCAATCTGGGTCTCTGACTCCAATCGGCTCTGCACTATAGAGTCGCTGAAGGCTGTCTGGCACGGGCAAAAGATGGACTTCTTCAAGACTGCCCACAAGGGCTCCCCAGCCCCCAATCCCGAGGTCATTCAGCTGGATGGACTGAAAAGACTGCGCATCTTAGACTTTGCGCGGGGCAGCCGGCCACTGGTCCTCAACTTCGGCAGCTGCACCTGACCCCCGTTCACGGCGCGACTGCGCGCCTTCCAGCATCTCGCCTCCACCTTCTTAGACATCGCAGACTTCTTGCTCGTCTACATCGAAGAAGCCCACCCTTCCGACGGCTGGGCCAGCTCAGATGCAGCCTACGACATCCCCAAGCACCAGTGCCTTCAGGACCGGCTGAGGGCCGCCCGGCTCTTGCAGGAGGGCGCACCGGGATGCTTGCTAGCGGTGGACACCATGGACAACGCGTCCAGTGCAGCCTACGGTGCCTACTCTGAGCGGCTCTATATAATCCAAGAGGCCCGAGTCATGTACCAGGGGGGACGAGGCCCCGAGGGCTACAAGATCTCAGAACTGAGACACTGGCTTGACCAGTACAAAGACCGCCTGCAGAGCCCACAGGCCTCCGTGGTCCTACCTGTGTAATTGACCGTTTCCAAAACAAAGAACCCCAAACATGCAATTGAAGGTTTTCAATCACAGAAAGTGACAGTTACACAAAAGAAGGGGGAAGGGAGAATTAACCCATTGGGGGGGTGTTCCAATGGGGGAAACACCTCTCTCTTCCCTCCTCCCCAAATTCCATTTTTCTCTCGTTTTTTTTCCTCCACTTTGTTGACTGCAGTGCGAACATTGTATATGTTGCGCGTGTGCATGCGTGTGTAAACCTGTGTAACTCTGTGAGTGCCCGTTGTTTCCCGCAGAGAGAAGACACCCCTGCCACCTGGGACAACTCAATCTCTACGGGGCCAATCCTTGTTTGCCTGGGAATAAGGAAGGAAGGAAGGAAGGAAGGAAGGAAGGAAGGAAGGAAGGAAG